TTTTCTAACATATCTTTGTAATAAAAGACTAAAGCCATCAATACACTGCGTTCAATAATAGAGAAAAATACCGCAGATAGTGCGGGTGTTGAGTAAATAAAATGATCGCTCTATTGACGGAATGTTTGTTTTTGCAATCCTTGTGCGCGCTCTGAATTGCATCAGCAAAAGCGCGCGCGAAAACTGTGTTCGGCCACCTTAAAGTAAGCATTGCTTTAATTTCAATACTCATCTTACTAAGAATTGATTGTGTTTCGTGTTCCAGGCTTTGTTATGGATCCTGTAATATCTACATTTCCCAAAACTCTTCATACCATTGACGTCATGGATGCTCTCAAGGTAAGCACGTGACTATTACGTAAGCACACATTAACAATACTAAAGGACGCAAGCATTTTGGGGAAAACGTACAAGATTACAAGGCTAGAAGACAATTGTAGCTCAAAAAATGTGTTTTTGTCACCAAAACAAGATCTGGATAAAATTTTAGGCCCTACTTTTTTTTTTAATTTTCAGTTGAAACGTGTTCCTTTGCTTCGCCGCTTTTTGTTGTTGTTGTATTTTTTTTCGTTCTGTTGCTAGACATTGTCTTAACCAGACCCATTCTCCTGACCATTTTGCGGGCAAAATGTCACAACTTCGAGGGCTTCTAAATTGGCAATTTCTACCTTAAAAGTCTCAAACCTTAAAATCGTGTATTTCAAAAGATATGTTTTATAGTATGAGAATTAACTGTCGCCTCATAGAAAACTTTAGAAGAGTTGAAGGGTTGAAGACAGTTGTAGCTCGGAAAATGTGGTTTTGTCACGAAAACCACCATTCTGGATATACTTTAAAGCCTTACGTTTTTTAAGATTTTCAGTTGAAATGTGTTCCTTTGGTTCGCTGCTTTTTGTTGTTGTTGTTGTTGTTGTTGTTGTTGTTTTTTTTCGTTCTATCGCTAGACATTGTCTTAACCAGACCCATTCTCCTGAGCATTTTTGAGGGCAAAATGGCACAACTTTGAGGGCTTCTAAAGTTGGCAGTTTCCGCCCTTAAAGTCTCAAACCTTTAAAATCGTGTATTTTGTATGGTTTAAAGTATTGAAAATTAACTACCGCTTCATAGAAAACTTTAGAAGAGTTGCCAAAAACATTACCATACTTTTAATCTTAACAGCGCTGCTGGGACGAGAAGAACAAACGAGAGTTAAAGCGATCTCAACGAGTAAGTAATGCCGCAAAAATGCAGTAGTTTGCCTGCCTTTTGTGATCAAGTCCCCTATTTTAGAATTCGTGGCTTGTTTAGCCTCTCTCTATCACGCTACAACCCGACGCGTGACTGAGTACCACGAGCAAATTCTTCTTGAGTGAACGAAATGGATCCTTCCAAATTAATATCGCTAAGAGTTGTAATCAATTTATTTCCTGACTTATTCAATTTCTTTTGTTAGACTCTACTGTCAACCTTCTGTAAAATAGTATTTCACGTTGAACGTTCTCTTTCATGGCACCCGTACAGATATTTGTACTTTTCTTTATTAATATTGTTCTGATATCCAGTTGGTGGTTTGTTGTTTCGTTTAGAGGGACGGAGCGCACATGCGGAGATTCTTCAGGGAGGTTTACATGGACAGTGTTTTCCCAATATTAAATTCCGCTGAATTGCCACCGTACATCTAGGGTAACGACGAAAGACAAAAGGTGAGGCCATTGTTTTCTCATTTTCAAAAAAACTGATGCATTTATTTCCTTCTCGGTTGCTGCCCAAGACTCTAATGTCTGTCGCATGAAGGGAATAGGAGTGTCTCTACTTCTCCTGTGGAAATTCAAAAAACGTATTTTATATCAGATAACTGGATGGTTTTCAGTATTATTTGACTTGGATCAGGAAAGCTTACCAAGGAAGGTGTTTTCTCTAAAAATTTGTGGATCAGACCGTATGACATGCCTATGTACATTACCATATTGAACCATCCAGAAGAACCATTTATTATTTGTATTTTTTTTTTT